CACGTAGACGAAATATAAGTATCGAGATTTAATGAAGAAAGAGTCGTTCGGCACATAAAAATTAAGCACAATTAAGATTTATTAAACAAAATCACTATGGTCGATAGATTTCTATTTAACCGAGACCAAATTTCAAATAATGGTTTGGTTACCATCTTTTTTCTATGATCATCTTTTTTATGATAAAAGAAAAATATTTGGAGAGTCATTGTGAATAACTTGTTTTGTTTCTACAATTGGTAGTTATTTTTTCCAGTGAAATTCAGGCGAATTTCGTATAGCATTTGACGTGATCGTGTGAATTTTGTTTTAAGATTTTATTATTTGTCTATTGGAATAGGATAGAGAGCGAGTAAAATTTGTTGCCAAATGTCTTTTTAAGGCAGATTCCTTATGCTTAAAAGCTATTTATTAGTGATCATGCGAGGTTCGCGTGGAATTTTTTTATTTATTAATTAATTTATTATTATTATTTTTTAGGATTTCATCGTATCTATAGTCAATATTGGATGAAGAATGTGTAGCTTGCATGTGTGAAAATCTATCAAATGTTATGACAAAAACTTATAAAAAGGAAAAGACAATCTTAATCTGTAATTCACCTACATTGAATTTATATGCAATTGAGTTGCTTTTATTATTATTTATAGTGCTATATTTAACGTTTGTAGAGAGTTCACGAATAGATTGATAGTAAAGTCGTCTTTTTAATTTTACATGGTTTTAAAACTTTAGAAAGATGTAAATACATAAAGATGTAATAATAAGATAAACAGAAGGGAAGGGGGAAGATGCACTAATTTACATCACTTGAGCTAAAATTTATAAACTGAAGATATGTTTTTCATCATCACATTGATACTTAAATTGAAGTTTACGTAACAATGTAATAAGATAATTTCGTTTTACTCAAAAAATGAAGAGAATTATTTTTAGAATCTGAAAAAAAAAAAAAAAGATGTCGAAAATAATTTGAGAGTAATATCTTCTCGTACTGAAAGCAGAAAATATTATCTGTTTTTTCGACTACAAGATTATTTTTAGATGGAGGAGTGAACCCATCTTTGATCTTTCTTAAAGAGAAATGCTAACATCATTCTTTTTGTACACATAGAATCTACTATTCCATTTTATGTTTAAATAATTATATAATTATATATCATATTAGTGAGGTCTACATGTCAAATAGTGAATACAATGAGTGACACAAAGAGTAATATTAGGAACCAAGAAGTGAAGACATCACCTCTTAAACTTCTATAATATGGTTTTCTAACTTTCCAAGAAATTTGGGGAAGTGAGGAAAGATAATGTGGCAATCATTTCACTGATTTGAGTTTGTTACAGTAAAAATCTCTCAAAAATAGTTATATCTAACTTTTTTATTATAATAAAAAAACTCACATAAAGTCACATCTCAACTTAAATTAAAAACTCCGAACTAAACGAGCCATTCATAAACTTTGCTTTGAAGAAATCTCTTCTTTTTTTTTTTTTTTCTGTGGGAGGAAATTTCTTCTTTTTTGTTGTTTTCTTTGGGGGCTATACAAATTACTAAGCTAATTGCGCACAAGGATCACGCCTGAAATTTATTTTCTTTTCCAAATATTCTCATGTTTAAGAGAAAACTGAAGGTCGTCTGTTTATGGCACTTGAAATTATTTAGCTCCATTAATGACTCTTTGACCAACACGTGTTTGATTTGATCATAATGCAGCTCTCTTCACTGCACCTTAAATATCGCGTATTAGTGGTCAACCTTGTCATCGAAAGTTGCAAGTTGGAACGTCTTCTTACGCGGAAATTTTTACTTTTTTTTTCTCTTGCTTTATCTTTGTTTAAATGGAAAGAGATCTTTGTTTAAATGGAGAGAGAGAGAGAGAGAGAGAGAGAGAGAGAGAGAAAATAGAATAATAGAATAAAAGAATATCAAGTCACCTAAAATTTGTAATTTTCACTATAGGTTAACTAGCTGAATACAGCACAGTTGTTTAAAAAAAAAAAAGAATTAATCGAATATTGAAAAATAACAAAGCAAAAAAGAAACCAAATCAAACAGGCCAATGGAAAAAATAAAAATAAAAAGAGAGAAAATGAAGTGCTGCAGCCAAAATTTCTACAGGGAAAATGTCCTGTTGGCTCCTGCAGTCGAAAACCAGTTAAAGAAAGGGATGTTAAAACAACAGACCATGATTGGTCGGTAAGATTTGGTACATACTGTAGTGTAGTCTGTACATGATCATAACTCATCAGTGGCTTTGTAACTTTTCTCTTCGATAATCTGAATGGAGGAAGCTTTCGTATGGTGTTCCCGTTAGTGTCTTTTGGACATCATCCCAATTCTCAACCAGATTAGACAATGATCCTTTATGTATCTTCACCTGACGACTCTTTAGTTCCATTCTTGGAACCTTTAGAAAATCTTGGACATCTCTTAATTTCTGCAAACATCGAAGTAAAACGATTAAACTTCAAGAGAACACTAAATATCGCGTCATGTCGAATTCTAATGGCCCGTTTTGTTCGCGCGTTTAAGTCGGTGATTTTGAATCTGAATTCAAATTTTGTGAGAGAACACATTGGCAGAAACTTTTTACTCAAATTTTTTATGAGATAAAAGTACTTTAGTAGAATCAAAATCATGATTTCAAACGCGTGAACCAAAAGGGCCCAAAGTTAACTTTTGAATCATCGAGGGGTGATACATAACGTTGCTCCGATTTCAATGGTTTATGTCTTAACAAGAAAAGAAAATTTTATCTTTGTGTTTGCGTAGATTGCTTACAGTGCGGTTTTTGACGATATCCTCGTAGTGAAGGATGATATGCCGCGTGCTCTTGAAGTACTCCAAAGCTTTAGCGGTAGTTTCTGCTACTTGCCTCAGGTTTGCTATCAACAATGTTGAGTTGATGGTAGGTTTGTATTTTGCTAGTATTTCTGCCTGAAGCCATTTTCACAAGATGAGTTAAACGATCTAGAATTTCAAAATCTAACCTCTGGTTTTATGGCATATGGTAGAGATAAAGAAAGAGAGACCTCAAGGGGTGAATGCACGTGAGACTTGTGCGTCCCGTTCAGCGGCTTAAAATCTCTATCATAAGAATTTGCGAGTATTGAGATCATTCTGCGCAAAAGATTCCTCCGAAAGAGAAAGATAGAAGCGACACCCCGACGTTTGAAATACTGGGCTATTTCTTCATGATTCTGCATCAAACCCTGCACAGGTTGTTGAATAGTATCAGAATCTTTTCTGCTACACAGAACAATATCCTTTCTCTATTCCGTAGGCAAATATAACACAATTCAAGGAACCATTTGGTAAAAGTATAAAGCTTAACAGAACATTCACCGGTATCAAAACCATGCCTTCCAATGTCTAATTTTTCAAACAAATTGATGCCATAGAGGCATGTACTTTTAATCAATAGACAAGCTCTCATATTCTTAGATATGTCACTGATACATAGGCATGAGCTACACATTTCTCTCTCAACTTGTTACTATTATTCCGTCAAAAGCCATTCAACTCTCCACTATTCTGGAAGTTCCGATCGACTAAAGCTATCCAGTTTCAACATCCAAAAGTAGATGCCCCATTTCATTCTAGCAACACGACCAGGAGAGCATTTTTATTTGGACTTTGACCATATAAATCTTGATTCTTAGTGACAGTTGTTCTGCCTATTCTAAATCCGCTGCAAATTTCTTCGCCTGATTCTGCATCTGTTTAAAACCCCAATATGGAGCCAAAACACCATGTAATCAGCTATTAAATGATTAACTAGTAAAGTTCCTTTGGTTCAGCTGGAAGAAGGCCAGACCAACAAGAGCTGTTTCCGTTATAGTTGGGATGTCAAGCCAGAAAACGTACTTGTTCTTCAAAAGTTTGCACTTAGTTAATTTGAAAGTATCGAAGTAAACCACTTCAAAACTTGTCTTGAGAGTCTAAGCTTCGCTTATATTGTAACATGCAGATTTTATCAATGACCACAAACAAGCAATTATGCCTGGACACTGAACACCAAAAGACATTAGACATGTCATATGGACTAAAACAATCTCCTCACTAATTGCATATAGAGAACCCGGAGAATCAGTCAATTTTGTCCAGATTCAGATAAACAGTCATAAAATAAAAAGCTATGCATGTTGCAACAGGTGCGGAGGATGAGTGTCTTATCATTATAAAAAAAAATGCAATGCCTTTTGTGTCTAAACCAAATAAACAACTCCATAACCAAGTAGCACATTTAGAAAATAAAATGAAAAAAATTTAGAGGATTGACCTGATTAAGCATCCACTTCAAGCCAACTGCAGCCGTGCATTCGTTCTTCGAGGCACTACTAAACCAATCTAGGTTATAAATTCTATCCAATGTCTCTGCAATCGTCGACATGTTACTTCTCCTGACTTTAACAGAGAAAATCTCCCCATTCGAGCTAATGTTAGTATGATTATTTAATAATGTCTCAAACCACCCACTCCCAGACCTCTGCATCGACAAAATTGCAAAGTACCGGACAGGATTGCATGCGCATTCAGCCCTAATAGTACAACAACAATCATGTCATTGCATTCCAAATGGAAGCAAAACCACATTTGAAACCAAATATAACCGGCATTGTACCTGCTATAAGTTTCCGGTTTCGGGTAGTGCACATAAGGAACTTCCTCTGGCTCTATACTTGGTTCTGGGCACGGCCTTTCGATGACCTCGAGATCCAAATATCCGGTCTTGTTGCGGGTGCTAACTTGCTTCAGACAAATTGAGCATATGTAAACACCACAAACCATTGCAAAGACCAAGACAATCATCCTCAACACCAATGGAGACTTCTTGGGCACCTTTACGATGAAAATATCCTGTAATTACTAAATTTCAGCCTCTCTAAAAAAGTGAGATAAATCATGAAACACACAGACAAGGAAACACCCATATGGGTTATCACACTGATTAGTTACACAAAGGCCAAAAGTGGATGATTGGCCAACACAAAGTCGGATAAAAGTTCCATCACATGGGTATTATGAACACAAATTTTGCAAGCAGAAACTTGTGTTTTTGCCAAAAACAGCAACTTTTAAGTTCGTACAAAGATGATGAAATCATTCGAAATGGTCACTTATACGATTCAAACACCCGCAAAATACTGGCGGAGAAACTAAAGAAATCTTGACAAGAGAAGCCAAAAAATGATGGAAAAATGAACACAATGTTTGATTAAACAATACCCAGATCGGATATTCCCACATGCAACCCATTAAAATATAATCCTACACAAAAATTTCAAATATAAAAGAAAACCCGTTTCTTATTCTTACAGAAAACGCAGCAAAAACGGAAGTAAAAGACAAGATATTGTGAAATAACATTATTAAACAACAATAATCACATTAAAAAAAAAATATATATATATATATATATAAGAGAGAGCTATTTGGGCATACCTTAGAGAAAGAACAGAGATCATCAGCCATAGTTTTTGAAGCTCAAAAAGGAAACCAACGAAAAGGCATTGGGCAGCTCAAATTCAATTCTTCTCCGCTTTATTTTGCTCAAAAGCTTTTTTCTTTTTTTCCTTTTTTTCTCTCTTTCTTCTGTACTACTAACCCATAATCAACTCTCAAACCCCAAAAACCAAATCGAAAAAAGAAAATTTAAAATAAAAAAGAAAACTTTTTTCTCTCTTTTGTGAAAAAGGAACAGAATGAATGATTAGATGCTTCGACCGTTGCCACGCTTACCCTCTTCGCTTTGCCTTTGTTCTTTTATTTAAAAAAAAAACAAAAACAAAAACTATTTTTATTATAAATATTTGTATTTTTCCTTCAAATCCACAGAGATTTTCCGCAATCTAGTGAAGTTTTTGACGGGGAAAAACGAAGGAGACAATTTGGGTAACGCAACGTCGTCGTTTTGGAGTTTGGTAATAATGGTCTCCTCCGACATTAATTCACGGCATCCATCCACGTTGACAATTTCCTGAGTTATAAGAGTTTCCCGACCGTAAAGATGCTTCAATTATGGGGAGCAATACAAGGATGACCATGTTTATTTATGCCCATTCTTTTTTTCTTTTCTTTTTTTTCTAATGAACATTTTTCGTAATTATTTTTTTTCTTTTGGATTTTGAATTGTTTACCCGGAATTTACAAAATTAAATATGATTTGCTCACATTCTCTCTTCAATGTTGAGAACTTGAGATAAAATCCCTCAACTCCACCTAAATAAAAAATAAAAAATTTTTGTCTGGAGCTCGATTAATATTTTGTATTTCCAACGAAGCAAATTGTATGAGTATCACACTCATCGCGCTCTCACAATACATATATGTTACATAAACACACACACACACACACACATATATGAATGACCTCTGGCTCATTTTCGACTTTTCTTTGTTTATGTTTCGAATCAATGGTCAACCAGCTTGACTTTTTGCACATAGATATATCCAACGACCGACCAACTAAAATGGAAAACAACACACCAAAAAAAAACCCCAAAATAGAAAAAAAATATATAAAGGATTGAACTAGAAAATGGATAAAATCCAAAACATGATCTATGTGGGCCTTACCAGGGCCCAATACATCTCACATAGCTTTCAGAATATTTTCCAAAAAGAAATAGGGAGAAAGAGGAAAATAGGATCAAGACTTGAGATGAATTAAAATTAATAGGTCAGTTTACATAAGTTAATAAATAAGTCAAATTATTATTTTTGTCCATAACTTATCTGATTATGAACCATAACATGACAAGTTATTGTCCATAATTCACGATTTGTGTCCATAATTTGTCTGGCTATGAACCATAACTTGACAAGTTTATCCATAACTTATCTGGATATGAACCATAACTTGACAAGTTATGGCCTATTAATTTCTATAACTAAAAATTGGCCTATATACTTTCTTAAGCTTTTCATATTGACCTATTTTCTACTATTTCTAAAGAAATATTGATAAATAGATCACTCTTAATTTTTACCCATTACTCTTAATTAATATCATTTTTAATTAAATAATTATATTAATAAAAGAGTACTAATTAAGAGTGGGGGTAAAATCTTAGACACATGCACTTTTAAGAGTAAATTTACAATTTTCTCTTTTCCCAAACCAGTTTTTTTTTTTTTTTTTTTTTTGGTTTGAATTCCCCAAAAGGCCAGCACTGATGGTTACTCCTAATTGATTGTGGCTGACAATGGGCCAATAGAGGTATGATTACACTGGAACACAATTGGAGTTGGGTCAGTATTTACCCCATTCAGATGGTGGATAAGGCTAACAATTAGAACATTATTGGGTTAGACATACTAATGGCCCACAAATTTGGGTCACGACTTAGAGAAAAAATTAGGCCCAGTATCACTGTAGGATCCCCTAATGCATCTTACCACTTCATGGGGATAGTTTGAAGGGTGATTTACACATATAGCAAAATCTGACATGGAATTAAATCTGTAACTCCCACCCAAATTTAACCCCATCTAAATCTCTCAGTGCCATAGACCAAGAGGTCTTAGGCAATATAGCGATTTTGAAATGTTGTAAATATAACATAATGATAGTTTGTAATGACATAGTTATCCATAAAGTACATTTTTAGTGATGATTTGAAACAATTGCTAACTCTCAAAAATCCCTAAAAATGTGGGAACATAACGACATATGGGATTAGAAATCTATAAAAATAGAAAAATAATGATCGTAATAACCATATATGATAATGCTAATGATAACGATTAGACGGTAATGATAATCATTATGGTAATGAAACGATGTTAATGATAACAATGATAATGATAGTGATAACAATGTTAATGTTAACGATTATGATGGTAATGATAGTGATTATAATTATGATAATGATATCATTGATAACAATGAGTATTACTAATAATGATAAAGTATATGATACTTTTATTTATTATTATTATTATTATTATTCTTAGAATGTTTTAACAAGAGAATGTAATTTAATGATAATGTAGTAACTGTCATAATAAGAGTGATTATAATTATGATAATGATATCATTGATAACAATGAGTATTACTATAATGATAATGATAAAGTATATGATACTTTTATTTATTATTATTATTATTATTCTTAGAATGTTTTAACAAGAGAATGTAATTTAATGATAATGTAGTAACTGTCATAATTAAGAGAGAGTATAAACGGTTGCAAAAAAAAAAAAAAAAAAAGAAATGCACTTTTTAAGGGATAACAAAATCTACGAATTCTCAAAATGTGGAGAAAATAAGGAACTGTTAAAAGGGGCAAAAACGACTGTAAATTTATTTCAAATTTAAATATTTTGCCATTCTCATAATATTCTAAAAATGTTGATATATTATAAATGAAGGTATGAAATTTTGTCATGTATTGAAACAACCGTTTCATTATAGTAAAAAGGCAATTATGCCCTTCTTCATACTACTTACGCACACATAAACACAGCCTAATAAAAAAATTTATTAAGATGACTATTCAATAAAATGAAATTAATAAAACTAGTTTTTAAGTGAGCAATCAAGTGGTCACTCAGCGTAAAAAGTGGTCGCGCGGATCATTCTTGAGTCATTTTATAAATTAAAATTTTTAAGACATCATTTTACTAATAAAACTTTTTGAGTAACTCATTTTTACTAAAAGCTCCAGCTAACACTCACTTTTGGTCTGAAACAACTATGGTCGATAATGTAATACTGAAATCACAAAAATAAAGACATTCTCACATCCTTCTCTCACCCCAACCGCTGTACATACACATACATTTTTAAAAATATTTTTAGTTTAAATATATGTTGTATATTATAATAGTACTTAAAAATATGGATTAAAAAAGTTTTAAAGTACTTTTTTATTTTACCATCTTAAAATTTTTTAATAATTCTTAATTTTATATTTAATTTAATGTAATTTATATAAATATTAATAATATCGCAATATTTTTTTCCTTAACTAAATGTGTAAGGTATAGAAAAAGCATCCCTAATAGGATTCTCCGATCTCGATCCCGACCCTAAGTAAAGTAGGTATGGGAAAAAATGACAGCGGGGCGGGGTGAGAGAAGCATATCTTGTAATGACCGAGAAAGTCATGTAACTAAATAGCATAATTTAAGTAATTAAGTTAAGAATTTTCCTGAAAATTATCATGCCTTATAATTTAAGGATTTACGAAATTATTAATATTCAATAAAGAAAATCTATACGAAATTCTAAGTTAAAGTTAATTTATTTCATGATTGAAATGATTTGGTTGATAACTCTTACTGCGATTTAAGGTGGAAGAAATATCAATCCATCAAAAAATTTTCTCTAATTCAATTTAATTATTTCAAGTATTTTAAGCGACTATATATTAGTGAGATTAAAAGAGACGGCTACTTAGATTAAGGCCGTCACATATCCAACTCCGTTTCGCCTAATAATTATCCTTAAATATTAGTTAAAAATATATTAATTAAAAATAAAAAAATAAAAATTCAAGTTCATGCACTCTAAGATAAGTTCAACAATAATAGAAACATATAAATAATTATAATATAACCAAACCGGTTAGAATAATTCAAGTTGAAAAAAAAAAAAAAAAAGCTTTTCAATTCGAAACTACCAAAACCGTAACATAAAATATAAATGACCAAAACGTTATACGTATATACATAAACATATTACATAGTAAGACAAGTAACGATCAGTAAAAAAACTGAATGCAATATGTTTAAACAAAAGACAAACATTATATATAGATATAGTAATAAGCATAAAAACAAAACGATTTTGTAGAGTATCGGGTAACAGCCGAATAAACAAACATTAACGGCAAAATTAGAAACGGTTTATATATGTAATCGAAAAAACAACCAAAATATCTTTCAAAAAAAAAAAAAAAAAAAAAAAACAACCAAAAGATGAAACCAAGAAAACTAATCAGATGCAATAGGTACAAAATAAGGAATTATAATCTAATTAGACGTTAAAGAAATCTCAGCCCAATGATAAAGATAGCGACGAGAGGAAAAGGAAAAGATAAATAAATAAATCAAAATCTCAGATACATTAAGGTGAGAGAGTAAAATTTCCAGAAGCGGAAATTCTCTTTTTCCAATTTCCTGCTACAGGTTCGTCTTCAAACGAATCTGTTTTAAAATTGTTAGAGAATATATATATATAGAACGAAATAAGAACTGGAAATAAGACAATTGCAATTATCAATTACAATAACAACAAATATGCAAAAAAAAAAAAAAAAATGTAATAACAAGAATTTACAATAACATTGACGAACGGAACAAGGAGAAATGGTCGAGGCTGGCGTTTCAAACACTGTCCTGAAAGCAAATTCGCCCCTCACTATCGGTGCAAGATTGCACAACAATGCTACTCTTAATGAACTGAATTATGCTCTCACTTTATCACATTGAAAACCTAAGAACGACACTAGAGAGCTAGAGAATTTCTGAGATAGAAGACTGAATTTTTTGATGTCTTATAATACGGAGTGGTGCTTCCTTTTATAGTAGGTAACAGTAAATTGTAATTAAGCAAAAGCTGATTTTGCTCCACGTAATTAATATGATTTAATTCCAACACTAAGAGGCTTTTATTCTAAAGCTATTACAAATGTTTTTATTCTCAAAATTAATTCGCGACTTAATTTAGAAATTAAATGTTATAACAATTTTAAAATCAAAGATGTGCATTTTGGATGTTAATTTCTCACTCACTCGTGCATTATTTTGAGGATATAAATATATCAATTCGATCTTCTTACGGGGAAAAACAAGAATCCAACTGGTCATTCACGCACAATTGATCCCACTCAAAATCAAGTATCAAAAAGTCACCTCAAAATGCTATTTTCCAACATAATTTTCACAGCAAGAAGCATTTCGGTTGACCGGAGGTTGAATCCGGGTAAGGACTCGGAGTTGGCACGAATAGGGTGTAAGAAGGTTTTGGTTTTAAGAAATGCTAGCATCGCTCTTTCTTTCAGTACTCTATGCATTCACTGCTTGACACATAGACTCCACTAAGATGATATATTATTATTTAAATAAAAATGAGATAGTAAAATTCACGTGTCAAACATTGAATATAGAGAGTAACAGTAAGAGTGATACTAGCATTTCTCTTTCATTTTTGTGACCAAGAAGGATTTTTTAAAGAAAAAGGGGTTGAGCTAATTATAAAAAAAATAATAATAATAATAATAATAAAGTGAATGGAATGGAGGAGTAGAGAATGTGGAGTCTGTGAGAGAGGATCACTAATTATAGCTTTTTTTTTTATAATTAAAAAAGTGGTGGTGTCAATGTTATTATTATTGCAAGTTAACAATAAAGTGGTCCTAAAATAATATAAAAAGTGTTAATGAAAGTTCAAATCCTTGGTTGCAGGTAAGCTGGCAATCGTTATCCTGATTATGAATTCCACTAAGTATTAGGACATGAGTGAGACTAATCTAGTTTCCATTGGAAGAAATGGTTGGAGCCATTAACAATGTTATCTGACGTGTGATTGTAATTTGCATGGGCGTAGGGATAAAATAAAAAAGGGATTCCTCGAAAAAAAAGAAATAAAAGGAACTTAAGGAATACCAAAAAATGAGACTGTCTATTCTACTGAAGAGAATCTAAAACCTGTTGAGGAAAGGATGGATTTTTAGAGGGAATAAATATTATTAATGAAGTTCACACGCACTAGTCACTTGTATCTACAAATTACGAATAACAAACAGTAGAGAAAAACTGTAACATGAAACAGTGAATGACTCTCCCTCTCAAGTTCTGTGGGAGGGCCGTAGTCCTCCACCCCCACCTTTAAGCAGGGTACCAAACTCCCGGCATCTATCTATGATTCCAAATATTAAAAACATAGTTAATAAAGGTGATATTGATTCCACTTTATGATTTCATTGTGTAATACCTAAAGTGGCTGCCCCACCCTCCTATGGTGGTGGTAGGTTAAGGCCGTTAAATTTGATTTTATATAGTGTTGTAAGTGATCCTAGTGCTTCAGGTCTTTTGATCTCAGTTGACTGGTTTTATCTATCGATTGTTATGATTGTCAAATGAATTTTGGTCATACTCGATTATTAATGTACCAATGGGGCCTTTGCCCAATAACTTTCGACACCCATATTCACTTTTGTGCCATATTGGTCTTCACTTGTAGATTTAATTTTTATCCATAGTCGAATATCATTGTATTTAGTGATCATTTGTAACTATACGAGTCTGTATTAATAACATTATCATGCATTTATTATTATTATTTTTTTACTTCGTGTAGATAAATAGAGGCTAACTTATCTTAATGACTATAAATCACGACTTCTGCTGATATTAAGAGTTAAATCTAAATTAACTTAACGTATTCCAAAAGCCACCTTTCGTAAATGGACTATAAATCACTAGCATCTCAAGTCATTCTAAAATGATAAATAATGCCAGAGAGATGGCTTAACCTTAAATATTTGAGGATTTGTTTATTATTAGCGCACATAGTAATTTGGAAGAGTGCCTACTTAACCTGCAAGAAGACAGACACATCCTCCTTTTAAAATATGTGGGTCCCGCGGATCACTACTTCCTAAGCATTATTGTGAACTAAACCAACAAAAAAGTAACATTACATTCGCTTTCAATTAAGTGGCCGAAGTTTGATCTCTGATCGGCTATAAATATAAAGCATCGAAACTTACACCATATCTAATATTAATGCATACAGGTATAAATTTCAACAACAACTATGAAAGGATGGACTTATTACGTGGCAATGGTTGTAGTTCAATTAGCATTGGGTGGATCCAATATTCTCATGAAAGTTTCGCTAGACAGGGGACTCGATCTACTAGTATTTGTGGTTTACAGGCATTTAATTGCTATGGTTTTACTAGGACCCTTTGCTTTTGCACTTGAAAGGTAATTCCCAGCTCATTATTATTATTTCATTTTATTTTATTTTACTTTGCTCTCTCTTCATGTGTGTGTGCAGGAACGGAGCTAGCTACAGTCGAGAGTAGGTAGTCGTCCCGCTTAAATTTGTTTTTTCCTTTAAAATTTTGGTCTTGTTTAAAATTGATCTCATTTTTTTTTTACGGAAAAAATAAAAATGTTTTCAAAACAGTGTTTGGCGTAATGTGTGTGTGCAGGAACGGAGCTAGCTACAGTCGAGAGTAGGTAGTCGTCCTGCTTAAATTTGTTTTTTCCTTTAAAATTTTGGTCTTGTTTGAAATTGATCTCATTTTTTTTTTTACGAAAAAAATAAAAACGTTTTCAAAACAGTATTTGGCGTAAAAAAGACAAAATAAAAATGAAAATAATTTTTTAATTTAGTGTAAAATGAGAGATAAATGAAAAATGACTTTTAGTCGTTTTTCATTTTTTGTTTTCATTTTCTCATCTCTCAAACAGAAAGAGAGAAAGTTAGACATTATTGGGTTTTTTTACACTGAAAATAATCTCTTGATAAAACTACTAAACGCATTTTTACAAATGATTTCTGTCTAAGATTGAAAACGTTTTCATTTTCATTTTCATACTAAAAATAAAATTATTTTGGAACGAGTTCTAAACGCGCCCTTTATGTTTGTCCCACCTCATACAATCCAGTTTAATTTTTTGATAGTTTTAGAATAGCCCCCGCTTTCCTAACTTATTTTTCTACTCCACCATTGATTGTGTGTGTGTGTGTGACATTTGGTTGCAGAGTTTGTTGTTCTGGAGAGACATAAATGAATTGAATCCAAAATATTTCTTGCACTTACAGGAAGCAGCGTCCTTCACTTTCACTTTCAATATTGACAAAGATATTTGTGCTCTCATCACTTGGCACCACCATTCACCTTTACCTATTTTATGCTGGTTTGGCCTACACTACCCCAACTGTTGCAGGTGCCTTGAGTAATGTCATTCCCAGTCTGACGTTTGTCTTGGCTCTTCTTCTTCGGTATTAATCTTAATTCATTATTGTGGATGATCTCCACAATCACTATTCTTAAATAATTTCGTTCCATCATTTATCTGCAAAACAAATGTCTTATTCTTAGGATGGAGAAACTGAAGATTACAAGTATCAGAGGTCAAGCTAAGGTTGCCGGTACGCTTATTTGCGTGGGCGGTTCTCTTATATTTTCCTTGTGGAAAGGAGGGTTCCTTTTAAAAGGTTTTGTGAAGAAACCCTTAATACACTTGTATCACTATGAGGCTGAGATTAATTCTGGTCATGGCAAAGAAAGCTGGATCAAAGGATCAATCTTTATTCTCACAAGTTACGTTGCATGGAGTGCATTTTTAGTTCTCCAGGTCATCATCCTTACTTCGCATAACTTTTTTGGATTATTCTTGTCCCATTGTTTTTCAATTTTAAGGTAATTCATGCTTTGCCCAATAAATTTTAAAAACTCTCACTTTACCTTCTGAAATTTGAATCCGTCCCGCTTAATCCTTTCTTAAATAGACTACATGACTTTGCTTAACTCTCCTTTTTTTTTTTTGTCTTTTTTAATGGAATTTTTAGTAGAGGGGGTTAAGTGAGGCTAATTCAAAGTTCAAGGACTAAAATTGGACTTTTTATGCGGGGCAAAGTGGAAATGATCCTAAAATTGAGAGGTCACGGGTGAGAATACTCCTAAAATTTCATATTATTATCCAATCATTTGTTTTTCAAATCAAACACAAAACAATATGTGACGATCATCTGCGGCTGTAGGCTCTCGTTTTCAAAGTGTACCCTGCTCAATTATCACTCAATACTATGATTTGCTTCTTCGCCTCTCTGCAATGTTCTTTACTGGCCCTATGTTTTGGAATACATCCAACTTTGTGGAGGTTGGACTGGAATGTTCAACTTCTGACCATTGTCTACTGTGTGAGTACTTCATACGCCTTAAGAAATTCACATTGCAATATGATGGTGTATCAACTTTATAACGCTAACTTTTTGTAACTGCAAATTAGGGAGTTGTAATCTCAGGAATAGTATACGTACTTCAGACCTGGTGCATCGGTAACAGAGGACCAGTTTTTACTGCTATGTTCAGTCCTCTACTACTTATTATCGGGGGAATATCGTCCGCGATTGCATTTGCAGAGCGGCTTCATTTGGCAAGGTCGGCCAAGCATAATTTACTGCCCTTCTTCTCTTTTTCATAGGCATTTAACTGTTTGTTAACCATGGTAATAATATAATATTGTCATAGACTCCTGAACTTAAAAATGGATATGCACAGCTTGGTGGGAGCTTTCTTTATCATTGTGGGACTTTACTGTGTGTTGTGGGGCAAACAGACAGACAATCATGTAGCTGATGAGCAGCCTGGATCCCAGAACGGCGAGGAGACAGATAATAATAAAAGGCTTGATATTTCTGTGGAAGATGGCTTGGTGATGAATCCAGTTTCTAACAAAGGACGTGAACAATATGGTAGAAAAGTAAGCCTAGAGTCATCAATCAAAGGCTCTTGATCTTGGTGACTTGGCTCATGGTGAGATGTTTTTCGTAAACTTTAAGCCAAATCCCAGCTACAACTTGGCATCGATCCTCTCATCTCTATACTTCTTTGTTTTTTAACAAGAAATATCTAATTAATAGAAATGAAAGAAGTCTGAGGGGCCTATCGGTACTAAGCACAGTTTCTCGTATTCTCATGAGTCGATAATACTATGTTATTTTCTATGCTTGTATTAGGTCTATTTACTTTGTTCATTGGAGTTATAGGAATTCCTTTCTTCAATCAATTCAATCAACAAGGAATTCAGTAGCCACTTTAAATAGGACGGTTTGCATGCTTGGTTCATAAATTTAAACAAGAACTCAAATTTGTTTAAATTTTTATGAGAAAACATTGTAACCAAAAAAAAAAAAAAAGTTTGAACCAAAATTTTTTATTCATGCCTATAAGACAAACAAAGGCTAACTGCCTACATTCGTCTTCGATGTTATAGCGGCCATAGAATCACATTTCAACATAATATATGTCAATGTTTTCTTTTCACCTTCTTTCATCAAAATGTTGCGTTGTATTGTCGAGAGAAGCCAAAGAGTTCCTTTACTTCAAAGGTTCATTTCAGCGAGTTTTCGATATCAATCACAAAAACGGTACTTCACATCCCTGCATGCTAACCTCTGCAGTGCTTCATTTGCATACTAAATTGGGACCACTTCTATAGATTACACAAATATGTTGTACAACTTTTTACAGGGTAGTTAAACAATTCCAGCTGCTACAAGCAATATTTAAAGTTAATTTTGATGATAACTTCTAGACTAAAAAAAATATATTTAAAATTAAGTAATACAAACTACAAATAACTGGAATCATAAATCATTCAATCAAAAGAAGTAAAGAGTTGCTCTCCAAACAGCCCAACAATTATGTCCGACAAAGTTCCAATGCCGATAAATAAACAAACAAACAAAACTAGTAAACAAATAAACAAAACTAGTGTCACTGGTGCACATAAATTAAGGACTCGACAACTTCCAATACAATAATAATACATAAGACTGGATGATCTTCAATGTTCCTCTCGAGCATTGTCAGCTTCAATTCAATTGAACTGTCAATTTTATATATTTTCTAATTTTTTAATTTTTTTAATAAATTAGAATTTGTAAATTTAAAAGTAAATATATATACACATATAATAGCCCTAAACATAAAACTCACTAACAAAGGGCCCACTTGCGGCTCAAAATTGAAGTGGAAAGGGTGTTGCAAGCATAGATGGGGTCTTATAAAACTGAAGAACGCTTAAATTTTAATTCATTTTCGACGTGGGACTCCTAACTTGTGTTGATGTGAGTTTTTAAAAATGCTTAGAATTAATATAAATATTCCCGCGTTTCTAAGAATGACATAACAATAATGATGGCACAGGGGCAAAGCGTGTAACTTACATTCTCCATTATTGGTTTATATATATACATATATATATATATATATATTTTTTTTTTTTTTTTAAACCAAGAGCTTTTGTTAAGTTCGGTTCACCTGTGATTTCAGTTGTCTTCGGTTTGGTTTATATTCGGGTAGTTTCGATCCCTTTTTCAGTCGAGTCGGTTAAGTCAGTTATTTTGAACATCTACATAAGATGATTACCTTTCTTTGGTGTATGTAGAATAAAAAAAAAATTATTAGTAAAATAACTTTCTAAATTTTCATTTTTTGCAATATGATTATGAAATAGACATGAATAGTCACTTTTTACAAATAATAACTGGGCGGTCATTTTTTATAAAAATAAAAAAGATTTTCTCTAATAAGCTAGCTTATTAGTAGGGTTAATTTTTTATTTTAAATCTAATCAAAATTACATCATATTAAAATCGTATAAAAAATAAATTTTTTTACACAGATTTAACTACTAAACATACCGGTAGTTTATTTTTCTTAATCTTAACAGAGAATCTCCCAAAATAGAGAAAAAAGTCAGTTTGATAATTTAACTTTGTAGGATAGCTATCCAAGAAAATTCTATTGTTTCGGCTCTATTCATGAACTTAAATTCCTTTGAAAAAAAAAAAAAAAAAAAAGATCCCAAAGTCAACACCGATTAAAAACCAACCCAAACAACTCCAAAGAAAATATAAACATACCCAATTCATCACCTATTCAAGATGAACAACCATAAGAACTCAGAAAGTAAACAACCTTCAGAAGAATAAGATGAATTTCTAGCGATGATGATGATAATAACAATAATAACAAAAATCTATCAAAACTGAGAAGTAGAAAATGGGATGAAATCAAGACAAAAGCGCCAAAATGGATTTTTAATTGAGAAATCAAAGAGGAGAAAAAAAAACAGAAGAAACTTACGTTCTAGAGGTTTGAACCAAAACTTTTTTGTTCAAACCTATAAAACAAACAAAGGATAATTGTATGCATTCATCTTTAATGAGAAATTATAAGCTTAAATCAATGTTATAGCGGCCATAGAAGCGCATTTCAACATAACATATATTATTGAATTCTTTTCATCTTCTTTCGGTAATGATGAATAATTGAATTGAATACTTGAAGCTTCAGAGTTAATGTCTTATTTTAGGTCCAAATTATGTAACCCTTCCTCGGTAACCTAAATGCAGATACAATCATTCGCATATTTCTAGTTAATCCTTTGATTTCTTGCACAAAACACAGTATTGATCCCAAACACTTCCAGAGAAATACAATCCTCCTCTGCTATGTCAAACTGTTGTGTTGTATTGCCCAGGGAAGCCAAAGAGTTCTTGCCCTTCAAAGGTTCATTTGAGCGAGTTCTCGATATCAATCACAAAACGGTACTTCACATCCTTGCGTACTAGCCTCTCCAGTGCTTCATTTGCATACTGAATTGGAACCACTTCTATGTTAGGGTATATTCCACGAGTGGCACAGAACTCTAACATTTCTTGTGTCTCATTGGTACCTCCTACGGTACTGCCAGAAATCGTTCTCATACCTGCGGAAAGATGAAGACATGCTATTAGTTAAACTAGAAGTCTTTAAACCTACCCCAAAAGAACTAATAAGTTTCAGAGAAAGTTGATGTAGCTCTCCAGTACCCAAAATGAGGTTTGCAGGATGCAGTTTAATTTCACTTGGGACGCCCACCAAAACAAGAACACCGGCAGTCTTTAACAGCGACATGTATGGGTCAAAAGGATGGTCTCCGGATGCGGTGTCAATAATAAAGTCATATGACTTAGCAAGGGCCTGAATACAAAGTTACCTAACGTCAGACAATCAAAATCAAGAATAACTACAAGTGAAGAAAAATGGCAATGTATGTAACTGTTGTACCTTCATTTGTTCCTCGTCAGACGAGATTACAAATTTGTCGGCACCAAGCAGCATGAGAGCTTCCTCTCTCTTGGAAATGCTTGTACTGAAAACTGTAACATTCAACCCAAATGCCTTGCCAAATTTGACAGCCATGTGACCAAGGCCACCAAGTCCAATGACACCGAGAGACTTACCAGGCTGGTTCATGTTATGACGCATCATGGGAGCATAAACAGTAATCCCAGCGCAAAGAAGAGGCGCCGCTGAGGCCAGTGGGTAGCCATCAGGTATTCTAAAGCAGTATCTGTAAATAAAGACACAAACTATGATATTCTTATTCATTGTCAAGAAACCAAACCAACAGTTAGTTAGTGTAGAGGGTCTGATGATGCTGATGAATGAATATTGCAATTTAATAATAAGATTATTTCCTGAACTAAAAACTAAGAGGAGAGTTAGAGTGGGTAGACATACCTTTGATGAACAACAATAGAAGAGGAATAGCCTCCTTTAGTGATAGTACCATCAAAATCAAGATGATTGAAAGTGCGAACAGCTCCGTTTTCGCAGTGATTTTCAAGGCCTTCGCTGCAATACTCGCAATGTCTACAGGAATTGACATAGGTTCCGACTCCAACATGGTCCCCAACTTTGAAGGCATGGACACCACACCCAACTGCTTTCACGATCCCCACAATCTCATGTCTGCCTTGTTAGTTAGAACAAACAGAACATTAATCACCTAGTTTTAACTCAAACACACATAAATCGCATAAATAAATAAACAAATGAATAAATAATTATGTTTACATACCCAGGTACTAGAGGATACTTGGAATCACCTATTTTGTTTCTAGTCCAGACTACATCCGCATAACATATTCCACAGTGCGTGATTCTTATGGAAACATCCTCACTCCCCACTGCCCTGCATTTTTCTTTTCTTTATTACCCTTTAAATACCAAACTATATTAAAAAGAAAAAAGCTTTTTTATTAATTCAATTCAATACCAAAGAAAGGGAGGAATAAATAGGAAAAGGAATACCTGCGAGCGAAATTGTAAGGAGAGAGAAGGCCAGATGGATCTGTGGCAGCCCATCCAAGGCACTCCTCCTCACCTGCTGTTGTGTTAGACTTCATTCTGAGCATCAATTTCAATAAGATATCGGGATTAATATTAGTGGAAATTATATACCGAGGCATAAGAATTAATCAGAAATTGCACCTAAATGATTTCTAGTCTCCAACCAACAAACGACGACAGGCCGCGCAAATTTATGCAAAATCATGACGTCTATTGAAGAAATTTCCCAAAAGAAGAAGAAAAAGAAAAAGTGGGACTGTCCTGCACAGGCACAAGGCCAGGAAAATCTACGAGAGAGTGGGAATTGTTATGTTTGTCTAAATTTTGGGGGACAAAAAAGAATTTGAACATAAATTGTTGAATTACTAAATCTGTTCTTTTTTTTCTCACTAAAAATAATAATAAAAAAAAGTAATGATTAACAGAGCATAGATTGTTAAAAGTTTTTTTTTTTTTTAATCTTAATAGTTGTGACATAGATTAACACAAGAGAAAAAAAAATGTTTGTGGTCTCATATTACATATTAGTAATGTTCTAGAAATGTTTGTGACTTAATATTACATACTAAAAATTCACACCTATTGCAGCGAGTTTACATTTTTGTAATTCTGGATGGGATACACAAGCTACCAAAAATAATTACACAAACAGATTATGCAACTTTTTAAAGAGTGGTTAAATCATTCCAACTACGAGCAATCCTTAAATTCAAGTTTGATGATAAGTTCTAGACTGAAACAAAACATTGAAAACTAAATAAGACAAACTACAAAAAAACTTGAATCCATCATTTACGCATAAATCATTCAATCAAAAGAAGTAAAGAGTTGCTCCCCAAACAGCCCAACAACTATGCCTAACAAGGTTCCAAAGCCAATAAACAAACATATGAAACAGTATAACCCAGAGCAAAATAAACAAAGGACTCTACGGGCCCGTTTGGCAGAGCTTTTGCTTTTGCTTTTAGCCAGTAAAAGAAGAGAAGCAAATGCTGTGGTTTTTCAATAAGAGGATGTTTGGTATCTAGATTCGTTTCATGATTTGAATCATGGTTCGTGATTCGCTACAGTATTTTTTCTCACAACAAATACACGTAAATCAAAAATAGTTCTAATCACATGGTTCTAATCCATGAACCAAACGTCTCCTAAGTGTTTGGAACAAAAAACTTAAGGGGTCAAAATGATTTTCAAATTTTCTAATAAGCAATAAAAGTGTTGGAATTAAGTTTATATTGCCTTAATTAAACTCTGGTACAAGTTTCAAAGTCTATCATAAGTGCTTTTTATAGAAGTCATAATTTCTGACTTTAACTGGAAGCTCTTCTGAAAAGCCAAAGCACTCCAAACACTTTCATAAGTAGCTTTTGGACTTAAGAAGCCAAAAACAGCTTTTAAGAAGCTCTCCTAAACATGCCCTACAACTTCCAATACAGTGCGACAATACATAAGATGATTACCCCTTATTTGGTGTATCTAAAATAAAAAAGTTTTATTAGTAATATAACTTTCTACATTTTTTTATTACAACATGACTATAGAACGAATAAGAACGGCTTTTTTTTTTTTTTTTTTACAAAAAAACAACTGGGTGGTCATTCTTTATAACAATAGAAAAAATTACCACCGTTGTCTCTTAAACCTTAGAATCATTCTCAATTTACCTTATGCACTTTAAAGTCTCTCGTTTTGTCCCAGAATTTTGAATTATTTCCATTTTAACTACTTTTGAAATTTTTATAAAATGAAGATGGAAAAAAGAAAATAATGCAGTCACATCGTCTTTCTATCCATCCCTCTTTCCTATCTAATTTTAACATAAATTCATACAAAAGGGTTCAAATGAGACTAACCAGTCAGATACCTTAACCCACCCCCACCCCCCACAAAAACAAAGAAAAAAAAAAACAGAAGAGAGAAAAAAAAATCTAAGGCTGAACTAGTTTGTACTCTCCATCCATCACAATTAACGCACAATTGGAGCAAAACTAAACAGCTATTATCTCACAAATAAGGAACAATGAGAAAGACAACCCAAACAAATAAACCCCAAAGAAAACACCGATTAAAAGCCACCCGAAACAACTCAATATATATATATATATATATATATTTATATATGTATGTATATATAAACATACCCAATTCAACACCGATTCAAGGTAAACAACCTAATGAACTCAGAAAGTAAACAACCTCATAAGAATGACATGAATTTCTAGGGAAAAAATCACAAATCTATCAAAACTGAGAAGTAGGATATGGGATGAAATCAATACCAAGGAGATTATAAAATATTTTTAATTGAAAAATTAAGAGGAGAAATAGCAGAAGAAACTTACGTGCTTGGTTGCGATCAGTACTTCACTTCCTCCGTTCGAGAACAGGGTGGAAGAGCTACAGGTGTGTATGGAATAAAGTGAGAATAAAAACAAGAGAAGCGAAAAGACTCGAGGGATGGCAATTTGGAATTTGGATATTTAACGTTTAATGAAATATATATATATATATATATATCAATTCAGTACTAAATTTAAACGGTATATGTATTTTTTTTTAAAATATGTATATATTTTTTTAAAATGTGTATATTTTTATTTAAAATATGTACATTTTTTTTTTATGATAAAATATATAATATATACATATTTTAAGAGTAAATATACACGTTTTAAAAAAAAATATACATATTTTTTAAAAATATATATACAAATATCGTTCCAATTCGATGTCGGACTAGAGACTGGTTATACCCATATATGAAGCGTGTAAGGCCTAAGCTGTCTTTTTATCAATCAAATATAAACTAATAATTTTAAAAATATCCTCAAATAATTTTAAAAATATTTTCTAAAAAAAGTTAACTTTTTCTAATTTTTAATTTTAAAAAAATTTTAAACAATTTTAGAAGTTTTTTAAAAAAATATTAATTTGTTGTTAATTAATATAAAAGATATAATGAACATTTTATGTCTTAAAATCAGTCTTCAATATTAAAAGAACATTTCTTTAAAGGCGAAAATACTATTTTAATAGTACTATGATGTTTCTTTGATAATAAAGAGTACCAAAAATGATTTTATCTCTTTTAGAAATATACATGGGTATTTCCGGGACTTTCATTAAAAAGTTAAATAAATAATTGCATTTTATCTTGTTGACAAAACACATGTTTAGCATAAAATTGTCCAAGTACACTTTAATTTAAAAGAATTTGAGAATGTCATGTTGTAATGATTGAAATAAGAATTAATAAATCAATCATAACGAGTAAATGTTAAAATTTAGCATATAGTGTATTTGGTGTTAAAATTACTATTAAGTATAATATATGTTAAATTTAGCACAAGAGTTAACGTTTTAGAGAGTAATTTTCTTACTCAAATTGTTAAAGTTTGTAGCACGCTAACTTAACATTACATTACATTAAGGGTGTTTTTGGAATTACAATTGAAACTCCCAAAAGAAATTTACAAAATAAACGATGCAACTATAGTGTTTAGTAAAAGTGTACAAAAATACTTTGCACACAAATCAATGCACTACTTAAATTATTTTGAGAAGTTATTGGCATCATTCACTTCGCGAATTTGAGTTTTCAATTCGAGCTGAGATGTGACATTTTTTGATAGTTTTTTTACTGTAGCAGAAAAAGTTAATTGTGACATTTTCTGAGAGTTTTTTACTGTATAAACTTAAAACTGAAAACTCGAATCGGTGAAATAAACGATGCCATAATCTATAAGTTTTAGATTTTATTTTTGCTTATACTTTTACTTTAAGTAAAAATAGTATTTTTATTAAAAACACAATAATTATTTTAAAAGTACAGCCAACCTGACCTAGCCCTATATATTTCTATAATGTTTTTTTTTTTTTTTTGGTTAAATTGGACCACAATTATACGATTGACCTTTTTCTAAAGCAAAAGGGTAAAAAGGAAAAAATAAATTAGATATAAAAGTTAAAATTAAGAATATCCAATTATACCCCTAAAAACAACAAAAGTGGGAGTACTCTTCATCTCCACAAATTAATGGCCTTACGAGTAAATATAAACTAGAGTTGTAGGTACTACTAATTCCTCCTGGGAATGTTTGGTCATTTTTTAGGGGAGTATACATGATTATTACTATTCTTGAAAATGGGGAGTAGGTATTATATCAATTATGTGAATAAGACCTATGCAGGGACAATTTCATAATATATATATATATATATATATATCTCTCTTCAGGGGGAAAAAAATCGATTAACACTTGCACATCAGAACTCTTCAGGAAAAAAAATACAATGATTTGATTTTTTTTTTAAGATATTGCAAAACCTTTGATAGAATATGCAGTGCATCATACTTGTGGCCGCCAGTTTTAGGTGGTAGATATAAGTCTTCAGCCCAACGTTCATACCGGGCCTGGTATTAGTAATATTTTTCAATTTTCATTCGACATTATAATATGGAATTAGTAATAGTTCACTACCATGTTAAATTCCAGCTTGCTTCAATATATCAAATACACACATAAAAATGTTACGAGTACAAAATGCCACGGCCGTTACACTTTAAACTTTGTCTAAAACTGTAATTAAATTCAATAAAATACATAACTTTATGTTTTCTGATACTGATGGGGGTAAAAATGATTGTGGGCGCAATCATTCACATGCAACAGTAGTGGACCCGCCAAAATTCTTAACTCATTTCTGCTTCAGGCTTATAAGTGTACGAGTAGTGGCCAGAGAGAGAACTACAACAGAAAACCATTCCATTATAGTTTCTTCAACGTCCAACAATGGAGGAGACTGCGGGAAAGGTAGTGATCGACACCCCATTCTTCCGGATCTTCACGGACCTCCTAATTGATCGTCTGGTCGGCGAGGAAACCGTCCCGTCCTCTGCCAACGCCAACACCGGCGTCCGATACAAAGACGTCGTCGTTTTGTCCAACACCGGACTTCCGCCCGAATATTCATCCCTCAAACACCCGACCCGACCAGTAAACACTCTCTCCTCGTTTTCTTCCACGGCGGCGGGGTTTGCGTCTACTCCCCGCTACCATGATCACGTCGCCGCCCTCGCCGCCGGCGCAAACGCCGTCGCTTTGTCTGTGCACTACCGGAGGGCGACGGAGCACCTCCTCCCGACGGCATTCGACGACGCGTTGGAAGCTCTCCGGTGGGCCGGGGCCCACCGTGAAGAAAATGTGCCGGAGGCCTGGCTCAACGATTACGCGAATTTCGATCGAGTCTTCGTGGTTGGAGCCAGCGCCGGAGCGACCATAGCGCACTACACTGTAAGACAGGCCGGCGTGGATGGGCTTCGTGGGCTGGGCATTGTTGGGCTGGCAACGGTGCACCCGTTTTTCAACAATGACGAACCTGATAAGTTGATAGAGATTATTTTCCCGACCCGAATCAAGTCGGGTGACCCGAGGCTGGACCCGGAAAAGGATCCGGAGTTGGGGATGCTAGGGTGTGGGAAGGTGTTGGTTTTTGCGGCAGAGAAGGATTTTTTAAGGGAAAGGGGTTCTTCCCGGTCAAGATAGATGGGAAGGAGCCCTATCATGTAAAGGCCATAACCAGCCTTCTTATGTACATACACCTTTGTTTCAGGGCCGCCCTTCCTCCTGCTAATTCAATCATTTTCGAACCTATCTTTCCCACCCCATTTAATGGAGGACTTCTCAATTCTTGCGATTCCCAACTTATTCTTATTATATATAATAAGAATTTTCCCTAAGAAGGTCAGGCTCTGAAGCCCTTCATTCAGCTGGTTTTGGCTTTCCCCTTGTCTAGGTTGGAGCTATGAAGCTTACCTTATTATTATGAAAAGGGGAAAGGGCTTTTTCAGCTTACTGCTCGCTTTCTCGCTTCCGAGAGGTTCACCACTTCTCGTCCTTTAATTTTTTTAGCGATCATACGGAAAATAAGAGTTGCTCTCCCCGATCCTTCATTAAACAATATCCAGACCTCATCTTTTCTGATTTATAAGTCGATCAGTGCCGTCTTATAGAAGGAAAGTGAATGGAATGGGGAAGTGGAGATAGTGGAAACGGAAGGAGAAGGGCATTGTTTCCATTTGGTGGACCCGACTTCTGAAAGGGCTTTGGCTTTGATGAATAAGCTGGTTTAGTAGAGAAACAACATAAATGATATCTAGAATAATATTTGTTGTGTGATAAATATCTAGAATTGTATTTGTTGTATCTGGACTGTGTGCTTTGATTTTTTCTTTTTCTTTTTTCTGAATAAAACAATTTATAGGTATATAATTACATGTTTTTCGATTGTCTACATATCTTTTTTCTTTTGATGTTTTCCCGAGGGCTATAGGACTTTTTATATGATCTTGATTCTTGTCAAGTAAATTTTTTCCAGTTTCTCCTAAAAAAAAAAGTATATAATTGATTTTTTTTTGCTTAATAGGTATATAATTGATTAGGACACGTGTTTCTTTCTTGTTGAATACTTTATACAGACCTTCTTTTATGGAAGGACAATTCCTGCCAGTAAATTATTATAAAAAAAAAAAAAAAAAACTTATAAAGCCGACAATTTCCTATACAACACGACTTGATAATAACAGGCACGCATGACATAAATACGTTTTAGGTAACCGGTTTTATTTTTATATCAATTTGGTGTCACTACATATAACATGTATAATAAACGAATGAGTGTCGACTCAACACTAATTCAAAATTAACCCGTTTAAATTACAAGAAACATCCATTAATTTTATTCTTATATATTTTTTTGTGTGTTTGAATCAGAGGTGTGCATCAAAGTATTCATACTTATTGACCGACCAAACTAAATTAAACAATAACCGATTTGGTTGATTTGTTTTGAAATTTAAAAAACTAATTAAGTTCGTTTGCTTTGTGGTTTTACTCTTAAAAAAAAAATCAAATTAACTTTTATTCGTAGATATTTTAAGAAATTATATGTATCCTATACATTTTCAAAATATAATTAGTCATTTTATAATATGTTATCACGTTTTACTCTATATTTTATAATAGACCAGTTTGTAAGTAATTTTTATATAACATATTTAAAAATGTATTTTTGTTATGGATGATTAATTTCTGACATCAGATGATGTATTTTGTTATGAATTGAGTATTTATTTCTTGAGTTATCAATATTTATGATTGAGTATTAAATGAATTTTGATTATAGTAAAGTTTTGATTCTAATTATGCTTGAGAACAAAATGATTAATAATAGTTTAAACCAAATAAAACAAATCAAACTAAACCAATTGTAATGTTTGGATTTCATCATTTAAATGGTTTTGTTTGATTTGAAAATCTCAAAACCAATTTATAATTAGTTTGGTTTGCACTTGATCTAAAATAAGTGGTTTGCTTTGGTAACACACCCTTAGTTTAAATGCGTTGCCTCGTTTATTTCACTAATTTAAGTTTAGAATTCGAATTATGTTATAGTAAAAAGCTCTAAGAAACAATCACATCTAACTTTATTTGTTACAATAAAAAACTCTTACATAAGATCACATCTCAACTCGAATTAAAAAATCGAATTAGCAAACTAAACGGGTCCTAGTGTTTGTTACAGAAATTTATAAAGTAATGTCATTACTTTCCTTTACCATGAAGAAACTAATAATGTCCTAATCATCAATCACGTCTTTCATTTAACTCAAACTACCAGTAAATTAATTTTAATTTCAAATGCTTTTCTCAATTTTCACTGATAGGATCAATTGGGTCATGAAGAAGTTATTTATTTATTTTTTCATATCAATCCACCATGACTCACGATGGTGGAGACCTTTAAAATATCACCTATTAAAACGTTAACTAGTTTGAAAGATGTGATTTGTACGTACACATTTAGTTTATTGAATTTCTTGTATAGATATAAAATTTTGTGGAGTGTAATTTTTTTAAAAACAAATTATCATTATCCTAAGTTTTTACTTAGTAAAAGAACAAATATAGTAGAATGAACTGAAATGAACATTTTCAATTAAAATGTGTTTTGGGTTTACTATTATATGTCTATAGACACTTAGAACATATTTGAGTAGTAAAAGGTTTTACAGGGTAAATTAGATAGACAATTATTTTAAAAAGTATATACGAGAAATTAGTAGTTGAAAGTGCCGCAACAAAAAGAATGTTTAAATAGAGAGCATTTGAAATAAATAATACTTCAATAAGGGTAAATTAGAGAAAAAAATACTTATGAGATAACAGTTGAGGGGTTATATAAAAAAGATTATACATTTAAAAACAATTATATAAATGGGTAATTTATAAAAAGTTTACTCGTTTTAGATCACTTTTGATATAATAAATACACATAAAAGTGGAGACATATTTGAACTTTGGTAATTAAGAATAGGGGGGAGGGGGCAAATACGAAAAGAAATTGAAGAACTATATGTATTCAAAAGAAAACACCAAAACTTTAGGTGCGTTTATAATTGATTTTTGCTCATTTTTAAAAACATTTTTCACACATTTTGAGGCACGAAAATAAAAACGGTCCTCAAATCGTGTTTGCTTAGCAAATATTTTAAAAATAAAAATAAAAAATAATGAAAATGATTTTTGTGAAGAAATTAAAAAAAAATTAAAAGTTATTTTTCATGATTTTTGTGAAGAAATTAAAAATCAGTTGAAAATTTTTTTCCCTTTTCTGTTTTCATTTCTTAGTATTTGTCAAAAATATTATAATATTATAATTAATAATTATAATCAACACAATTTTACTTTTTTATTACACTCAAAATAATATCTTAAAAAATTAATCAAACGTAATTTTAAAATCAATATCAAAATAATTTTAAAAAAATCTCATTTTTACTTTTATATTAAAAATAAAATTATTTTAAAAGCGTTATCAAACAACCCTTCAACTCTTCAAGCCAACCACCAACTCTTCAAGCCAACCACTTCCCCCGGCCCCACCTCCCTCCGAGTCCTGACCCTGACGACTCATTTACTAGTTACACCACCACCGCCCATCAAGCCAACCATCTACCGACCGGCTACCACCCCTCGAAATACACTTTTGGTTTTTTTTTTTTTTTTTTTTTAAACAATT